ATCTATCTATCTATCTATCTATCTATCTATCTATCTATCTATCTATCATCTACCTACCTACCAATCTATCCTCTCAGTAGTAATTGAGAGCACACATCACAGGAAGCCATAACAATGGTTTTGCCTGGGTTGAATATGTTGTGCAAATTCAGGTTTTTGAGTTTATGGAGCTTAGTGCAATGCTTGAACTGGAAAAGGCTTATTTTTTAAAAAAAAAAATACCCATAATATAACCATGAGGCATGAACCCTGCTAATACTGTCTTCAGCAACTCTAGGATTTCAGACAAGAAGCTTTGTGGCAATGCCATGGGCCTACAGCCCAATTGCTTGACCCAGAACCCTTCCTCCCCTTCCATTACTTCAGAGTCCTAAAAAAAGCCACCCCAAAATGTTCAGGATTGTCTCAGATTAGAAAGCATGTCACCCGAGAGCTGCAATTGGTAATCCAATCCCAGTTCTCATGCATGCAAAGTATGACTTTTCTCTTACGTACTGTACTCAGTTTTAATGTGCCATGTTAGTAAATAGTACCCGCCCACACACACACTCCTCAAATAATGGAATGGTGCTCATTATTATAAAACAGCATTGCTCTTTTTTTTTAATGGTGCAAGTAAGTTGCATGGACAGATGTCTGGGTTAAACAAGCCTGAGGGCATAGAGTTGTCTGGGGTAGTTAGGGTGTCTGTGAGAAGATGGTTTCTGACTGTGGTTTTCCAAGTCTGTTCCTCTGCCACCCGGGAATCGCTGGCTGTCATTTCTGTAACAGCAAGCAAGCGCAAACATGTCTTAACTCTGCTCTTTTAGAAAAACAGAGAAGGCGGCTTCTTTTCCCCCAAGTTGGCACTCATATATATAGCAAAACTGGCCATATCTGTCTGTCTATCTATCTATCTAGATAAAATAGATAGCAAAGTTGACACTGAATAACCAAAGTTCCCGCAGTCAAAATCAAAATTATTATTATTTCCCTGCTTTGGAAAATGTGGGGCAGCTCTTGCCATGAAAATAGAGGCTTGTCTGAAAATTCCTCATTTCTCCAACGGTAGCAGCCCTTTTGTCTAAGGCTGGCATGCACGGACTGGAAGTCAGGAACCCTTTTGTGCTTACACAAACACATCATTCTCCTGTGTGGGAAAAGGTCGGTCTGAGATTTCTCATTCTCCTGCTATATTCCCGAGGCTGTTTTAGGTTAGCAATGGGCAAATCAAAAAGGGATCTTTTTTAAAAGATGATTTTCATTGCAGCTCCATACAATATAGTCTTTCTTTCTTTCTTTCTTTCTTTCTTTCTTTCTTTCTT